TACCTCATTCAACTCTCCAGAACTCACTTTGCTTATTTGAGTTGTGCAAGGAACATGACATACCGTCAGCTTTTTATATTTTATTGATTCCAAGCTGTGTGTTACTTACCATCCATATCCTCCACCACCCTGGATCTCTCAGTCAGCACAAATGATTTCTCTAAGGGGAAAATGAATCACTTGAAATGGTTTCTGGCTGATACTTCACTTTGCTGAAGGTACATGTGCCCTCTGTCCTTTCCACCCTCCTACCGCATCAGCTGGCTGCTTTGGGGAGCACAGGCCATTTTCCAACTAGTAAAGGTTATTTTGCTCTTACTATAAATGGTTGGAGGCACATTGTCCTTGCCTGCGATCTTCTTCACTGTACTCCTTTCTACAATATTGCCTGAATTAGTGTCCTTCCCTCATTAAAATAAGACAGTCCTTGGTAACTGTGAGCATCTTTGCTCCTAAATGATGACTCCAAGCCACAGAATACTGCCACTGCTTTGGGCAGCTCCATGAACCTAAGAGCAGGCACTGGAGAGACTCTCCGACTTCTGCATTGCCTGCTTCCAAATCAAAAAGGTCAAGTTGAGCACCAGCAATTCCACTGCCCTCCCTACGGTATTCCTGTGGTAAGGGAAGAGAGGTCAAGTTATAGAAAGATTAAGGTGTTTCCAGCTGGTAGCTCATCTCTCCCTGCTCAAGCTGAGAGAGATGCCTTTGATTAACTAGAAGCCCAGGCTTCTGCTGTGAATGCAGGGTGTTCTCAGTGGGACACCATGCTGGTCCCCAAGTAGTTCCTGTGCGTGAATGGTTCTCACTGTATGCTAGAAACAGAGAGATGTGAGGTGCCAAGATGTGTCCACAGTGAGATCTGACCTGTACTACCATTTCTGCTGCCTTTTCTGCCATGACCTCAGAGGAGGCAGAGGTCTGCTGCCTGTTAAGGCAGCCAGCAAATCTAATAACAACTGGAATGAGCTGCATTCATTGGAGAGTCCAAGAAGGTGGCAAAACACCTGACAAAACAGAAAAAGGGTCCACTTTCTCACTCACCCAACATTGCGCACAACGAATGTTGTCTCCGTGACATTGTGGACAGCACAGACAGGCAACTGGACAGCAGCTGGGAAGGACAGACAGGGGCGCGGAAGCGTAGCACACAAGGTGACAGAGAACTCGCCCTCAGCCTTCTTAAAGCAGATGCTGTCTTCATACTCCTTCTGCACAGAAAAGCAAGGGGAGACAGCGCTTAGACGGGCTCCATCTTGCAGGTCCTGCAGCTCCGCTCATGAGCATCACTTCACTTTTGCGAGAGTGTTGGGAAAGAGCATCAGCAACGGAGGCACCAGGGCAAGCCTCTGTGCAGGACAGAGAGCATATGAGACACCCAGAAAACACAGGCAGTGAGTAAGGTGCTCAGGCATGCTGCTCACTCTGTCAGCAAACACACAAACAGCCTCAGAGAGAGCAGTTGAAGACCACATTTGTTTCACCTGATTTGTTTCAACGCAGATGGATTTCTTCCAGTGTTTTCAAGATCTCAATTCAGCTAAACTGAAGCTTGTACAACCTTTCTTTGAGCTCCACGAGCACAGAAATATTAGTCTTTGATTAAGTGCTTTGTCAGCTGGAGGCCTAAGCAGATAACACACGACTTAAAGGTGCAGCATTGACAGCATTGTGTACAAATAGCTCCAGGACATCTGCTAACCAGCTAAGATAGAAGGAATTGCAAGATATATGTCTTCCATGCCCCCCAATCATCACCTCTCCTGAGTACCACTTATAAAGGTAAGGAGACACCTTGGGCACTGCAGCACACACAGTCCTTGCTCTGTCTAAGAAAGGGAGCCTCCTACTCTAGCAATTGATGTGGTGCAGGCAAACTATTCACTGAAAATGGAACAAGGCCAGCAGCTTATTTCATAAAGGGAACACTGAACAGTCATCAGAAAATCATGATACTAAGAGAGCAGGATACTGGGAATCCGCCCAATGATCACGCTCTATGGCTAGGTCTGCGATTCACATCAAAGGCATACAGCTGTGGACAAGAACCAGAGATCAACACCCAGGGCCAAGATGGACACCAGGAACAAGAGAAGGGGCTGGATAAAAAGAATCATTGTGGTTAAAAATAAAGCTTAAAGAAACCCACCCCATCCAAAAGAAGGGGTCTTAATGTATCTCTTAGAGAAAATCAGTAGCCTTTCAATGTACAGGCTTTGGGGTCTCCTATAAGAAAGCAGAGACTGAGTCCCTCAACCCAAAGTTCTGAACTAAAACCACCCAGCTGAGGTTCCCTGGGATCAAACCAAGTGTGGACAGTTCAAGCACTTAATCTTACTTATTTCATTGCCAGAAGCAGCACATGAAAAACTGGGAATACTTTTTGTGAGGCTCCCTCTTGTAACTACTGGGGTCAGGGCTCCCTCAGGTGATGAAGATGTGGGGAGAGCAGGAAGGTGACACTGCCCAGTGTTTCTATGCTAGAACCTTCGCTAAGGACTGACCAATTCATTCAAGTACAAGCAAATCAGAAAGGATGAGAGGCAGGGGCCCACTGCCCCCCTGGAAGTCAGCCTGAGCACTGAGAGCAGTTCTGCTGTTGCCACTTTACCTTTTCAGTGGGCCGGAAAACAACGGGCAGAGTTAAGGACATACCAGGGCTCAGAGTGATCGGCTGTGGAAAAACAGTGAAGAAGAATCGTGTGGAAGGACACCTAGATAATGAAACCAAAAGAAGAGATTTTGTCTGAGAGCACAGAGCTGTTGTTAAGTTAGCAGAAAAGAGAATAAAGAATCAAAGCCCCCCTACCCCACAATCAGAAGCACTTTAGGCACCTGACCCCAAGGGTACCTTCGTAGAAAATCAGCAGAAACAGGGGCAGAACCCAGGTGTCTTGAAAACCCATCCCCAGCTCTAAGTACCTACCCCTTCCTTGAACAGTATTTTACATTCCCAGGCCGTGCAGCATAAGCAAAACACATTGGGCAGAAACATTTGAATTTCAGAAGAGGGAGGGCCACAGGGAGTGCTGGAGTGGCTCAACATCCAGTGGGACTCCCGGGAGCAACAGTTTTAGGACACACTAGTGACTGGCTGGCATACATCCACAATTAAAATCTCACTAGACTGGAAATGCCTCACAGACAGAAGTATCAGCAAAACAGAATTTAAAAAAAAAAAAAGGCATTTCATTTAAAATACTCCTGCCAGGAACAAGGGCTGTGCTTCTGAATTAGCAGGTTTCTGTCCTGCTACGTAAGTGTGCATGTGCTGTCTCTGGCATAACGTCCCAGGGGGGAGGGAGCAGATGAAGCTGAGAGAAGGTGCTAACGTAACTGATATAGCAGGAGGGATGAAGATGTAGTGAGAGCGTGAGGAGCACGAAGGAGAAAGAAACTTCCCACACACCTGTAGCTCAGCTTCTGGGTTTTCTCATGAACGTTTTTCAAGACCAGATGCTTGACCATCTCTTTTCCAAGTTCCCAGCCATGCCACCTGAGTGTTTCGGCCACCTCAATGCCCCAGAATATGCCTTTCTTCTTTGCCTTTCTTCCAGACAGCTTAGGGAGTTGCAACGGGGACATTAGCAGTTTGGGAGGGAGGGAGGGAGGAGAAATCACTCAAACAGCTCTTTCTCCACGCCAAAAGTTTCTGACTGGCAAAGGACGGGAGGAGCCACCCTGCGGCAAATCCCCAGGAGTCACCCAGAGCCCTGCTCCAGCCGTCCCCAGGGGACACCTCCTGGCCAAAGCCCAAACAACTGGTACCAGAGGATGTCACGAACGAGGGACGCAAAGACTAAAGGATTTTTTGGTTTTCTTCTCCCCCTGCCCCGCCAGTAAATCCACCCACGACAATGGCACCCTTTGCTCCTCCACTCACCTCCCTGACACAGCCACAGCGCAGCTTCCGAAAAGAGTCTGAGTTTTGGGGCTCGCCATGCACCTGGGCAAGCATCTGAAAAACGGGAGGAACAAGTCCTCATGCACACTGCTCCTGCACCCGGAGAGTCTTTGCTGCCAAGACCTGGTCTCTCCCAGGGACCCAACGACCCCTCCTCGGGCTCAGGTGGCACACCTCCCTGCAGGGGCTCCAGTGTCCCCAGCAGTGTCCCCATTTTGCCAGTTGAGTCCAGCCCTCTCCACAGACCGCATTGTCCCCAGGCTGCCACAGCCCTGCACTCAGCAGCCTCCCTGGCACAGACCATGACCCCCACCTCACTCACAGCTCAGCCCCCCCATGGCAGAGCTCTCCTGGGGCCGTTATAGCACAGCCCTGCCCAGCCCACTGTAGACCCACTGATCCCAGGATAGCAAAGCCCTGCTCTACAGCCTTGCCTGGCCTCCTTAAAACCCTGTGTAGATGCCAGCGGCACGGCCTGGTTCCCTACAGCAGGAGCCTGCCCGGCTCCCTGCGGCACGGCCCACTCCTACAACCCCGTCCCACCGCCTCCGCCCCGGGCCCGCACAACCAGCCCGGCT